TCTTTAATTTTATAATTACACATGCTGTATATGAATAGAGATGGCACGGATGCCGGCTGAAACGCCCTGGGGTGATTTCATACACACATGGAGGAAGACAAACTAACACCCTACACACAGTCACGTTACAGCCGCTCAGCCTCCTTTTTGTCTAGTTTAATTACCGGTACTGAAGTTTCAGAGTAACTGACTTCCAGTGATGGTCTCAGCAGGGACGGTGTAACAGAATTAAAGACACACACACATGCACTCGGAAGCTACCAACAATTCTTGCTAGATCAACAAGGTCTCCATGAATCTGTACCACAGTCTAGTTTTTAGCTGTCTTACAGAAAATATATTTGCTGGCTACAGTTTTGGCGTTCATGATGTTCACTCCCAGTAAACATCTAATGTTACATTTAGCATTTTATGAACAAAACAATAAACTACTATGAGAAATAATCATAAATCAGTTGTTCATGAAAAGTTGAAGGTTGAGATAAAATGAAAATGGTACAAACAGCTGCTTTTGATTCAGGCAATTTATGCCTGTGGGGAAAGGATGCAGATTTCAGTAGAACATTGGGTTGGAAGAGTAAAGACAACACTAAACAAGCTGCTTTATGTTTGTAACGCCACACCAAACCTTTGCCACAGATTTAAAATATTAGTGTTTCCTCAGCTGAAGGCGCCTCTTAGCTCAAACTACCATTAATAGTGCAAAGGGTTGTGACACTGCAGTATTACTTTTTAATGTAGCATCACCAGTACCTGTATACGGCCTTAGTCTGTTTATGTTGGTAAAGGATACAAAACCTTCAGCAGTACCTTAAGAATGAAAGTAGTACCTGCTCTGCTGCAATACACAACACAAAAGGAGCACGTACTCACCCTGAGGTCCAGTCCTCGTGTGCGTCTGCAGTGCTCTCTAAGTCTGGGGAAAACATGTTCTCTGAAAGCCCTGCGCTCCACAATGCTATCTTTACAGGGAATAACCACAAGCACAATGTTTACTAAATTAATCAAAGAAACATGGTCCACACATGAACTTATATATTGTTTTGTTTTTACACTTCTGGAAATGTAGCTGATACTTATCATGAATGGTCTACATACCCTCTGGGTTTGAACACAGATAGAGTTTCACACAGCTGCATGTGGAATCTGAGGACTGGTCTGTTTGTTTTCCTCTGGAGCACATGCCAAATCAACAGGTAAAATAAGGGAAAACATGTAGCATGAACATAAATAAACAAAAGTTCACAGTTGCTGTTTATCCTCTGTGCTGCTGCTTTTCTCTTTCCCCTCCTGCTCTACTCAGGAATTTCTCTGGTGTTTATAGAGTGTGTTGTCATGATCACACCCACTTCTAGTGACCTAACATCTACACAACACACACACACATATTCGATAATACACAAATTCGCAGGACTGGTACATACAAGCACAATCAGAGATAGTTCAAAAAGACAGCCTCACAGAACCCCCCCCCCCCCAAATGACATAGGGACAGCTTTTCCATATTTTTATTAATTAACATTTGTACACAATAAATACAAACTTTGTTTTTTGTATAGCCAATAATAATATGCAGAAAGACCTTTGGACCTGTTCTCATTATTGTCACCTTCGCAACAGTCTGAAGAGAGAAAAGGCCAGCTGTTCCACATCATCACACCTGCTCCAAATCCAAGGAAGAAAAATACATAATCGTAGAATACAAAACCAAAAAACGGCTCATACCAAGTAATTAACCGCTGTATAGAACCAAAGGAACTGTTAAAAAGGGAAAATGTTTAAAGTGGTAAATCACAATAAAGAGTCATTTGATAGACTGAGTATTTATGATGTGAAGTACTGAAGTACTGTGTGAAGCTATACTGCAAACTTCAAAACAAGTTTGAAAACCAGTATAAATGATCTCAAAGAGATCGAGGAGAGGCTGCTGTCCAAGTCGCCTTGACCGCACTGTTACAAGTCAGTGCTAGTCCTTGCAGCAGAGAAGAGCAGAGGTTTGCAATGTGAAACTGAATTCCAGCATGCGACTGTAGGTGTGGATGCTACTCAAAATGTTACGTTTCTAAAAGCTGATGCAAAAATAAGTATTTGGTATTTTCACCATTTCTCAGTTTCCAGTCCAATTCAATGAGCCTCAAGCTGAGTCCCAACTCTATATTAGATACTACCACTATACAGTATGTGCTGTACACTAATCTTCATACTCTATACTGTTTTTGCAGTTAGTATACAAAGAATTAATAATACACTTTACAGTGTACTAACAGCAAAGGTAGTATGCTTCAGCAACTTTGGACCTTGACTGATAGTACTCTCAACAAAGAGAAAGTATCACCTATCGAATACCTGATTTTTTTTACTGCAGCTGTCTCATCATAAAGAACTATTAGTTTTGTTTCCATCTGTGATTAGCTTCTCTGTTGAACACTATGTCTTTGAGTGTACTTTGGCATGCATTCACTATGTGAACACTCTACGAAACCAAACGGCTAAAATGAATATGCAGGAAGGAACTAGGAGACATTTCCACAATCTAACACAGATCTGATAAAAATTCCTCCTCTCCTATAAAAAAAAAAAAAAAAAAAAAAAAAAAAAAAAAAAAAAAAAAAAAAAAAAAAAAATCACATGTGAACAGCCAGGCCCATCTTAAGACAAAAAAAAATGTAATTCCTGTCTTCATTCAAGACAGTACATTACTTTATATTTGTTTGTTGTTTATAAGTTAAACAAAACACCAAATTACATTGTGCACAATTATCTCTTCATCTCTTTCGAAAAGGGAAGAGTTTTTTTTTTTTTTTTTTTTTTTTTTTTAAAAAGCATCAGTCACACTGAAACAAAGAGGATCCAACATAGCATCAGAATGAAAAGAATAAGCGATGGCTGTATTTCTACTCATTCTGATGCGATGTGATGGTAATGCTAATTTCAGGGAAGGTACAAATAAATAAAAGTGCCATGAGTTTTTTAGGCTTGGAGGGTATTTAATGGGAAGATTTATTTGAGAAAAAAAACAAAACAAAACAAAAGAATTGTACTTAGCTTCATTTGAAGGTTGTTTGCCAGTTCTACCCATTTAGCATAATGTAGTTCTTTTGTTTGTTTCTATCGTCGTTACTCAAAGCTGAAATCTAAGACACTAGGAAAATTAAGGATGATCTGAGATTGTAAATGTTAAAAGTTAATGTGTTTTAATGGATGTTTTCTCTGCTGCATTAAAATGCCAGATTCCTGCAGTGTTGTAATGTAGATACCGTACTTAGCAAGAAAACAGAAAAAATATTACCTGCAAATGTAATATCAGATGAACAAGGATATACTGTATGCTACTGTATATGTGAACTGATCAATGTTATAAATCAACAGAATCAATGTGAGAAGATAATATCAGAAGGGATAAAGCTATACAGTTCATTCTGTGATTAATAAAAACTCCTGACCCCAAATATTTGTCATTGTCTATATCATCCCAAATAAAACATTTCTTTATCACCATATAGTGAATACCAATGATTTCATTGCCTCTGAAAGCACCACCAGCATCCACTTGAGCCAACAAGTGACACAAACACACAGTGGGTCACAAAATGAGAAGATATAGCAACGCATATATAATATTATATCACTGTATGCGTGTATATGATGGCCATTGATTCACACTGACCGCCAATGGACAGAACAGACATTAGAAAAAAGAGGGAAGGATGGGAAGAGAAGTAGAGATAAGAGCAGAAGGGAGGGTCCAGCCTCCTTTTTGTTTATCTTCTCCCCTTTCACTCTCCTTCATACTGTATATACAATGCCCTTTCAGTATGAGGATAAAACTTCCACTACATATCAGACATTTTAATCCATTCAACTGAGTTGGTCTATATGAAACGCTGTGCATAACACTCCTATGACAACAGTAATGTACTGTACTAATACACATTGAATACGGATGATGATGATAATGATGATGATGATGATGGGGACTATATATGGCAAGGGAGGAGCTGGGGAGAGGGACGTGTCACCTACCCAGCCACCCACACACACACACACACACACACACACACACACACACACACAATCCATGTATTTCACTGCACTCCAAAACATAAACTTGGCAAGTTATTACCTTATTCCCTTTGATCAAACTTAGTTTTTAAAGTAGTAAATGTATTAAATATGTTCAAAAAGTAAAATGTTTCTCTTTTATCACCAGATGATAACGTAAAACTTATTTTCTTTTACTTCCTCCACAAGCTCATGTTATTTTTTAAAGTCAGTAATTTCACAGTTTTTTGGACCTTGGCACACATTTAATTATTTTTTACTCAAGCACACATGAACATTTGGAAATTTGCTCCCATATACTGTTGGGCAAGCTAGCTAAACTGAAACGCTGGTTGCTGTACACACTCGGTTAACGTTCACCATCATCTGCAGCTAACTTCATAAAGCTGCACAAACTCAGGTCAATTTATTTGACATTATGAAAACTGAGATACTAAATCACACACGGCCAAAATGTCAATGACAACAAATTCAAGGCTTATTTTCACTGTGAACATTTTTGAATATAATCATTCATCTGTTTCTTCTTTTCCCAAGATTCTCCATTTTCCTTATGACACAGGACGGTGTGGCTAGCTAGCTTAACTGAAAAACACACAGAGCACGACCATTTTCTAGTGAGTTACCTAGCTAACTTTCTTCAGAAAACCAATAAGTGCACCTGAACCGCACTGAGCATAGAGAAAATAAAGAAGAGTAAAGAACTGTCTGAGGATTTCAGAAACACAATAGTGGAAAAGCATGGACAGTCTCAAAGCTACAAGCTGAACGGCTAGTGCTCAGTATGTTTAACTACCAGCACTTGAAGTTAAGATAGCTAGCCACACAGTCCCCTCCACTGTGCCAAATATAGGCAATTTTACTCATTCTTTTATATGATAAGGAAATTTGGAAACATGGTGAGGAATAGAAAATGTGTGGGGAGAAAAACAGATAAATGGTTAAATGTGTGCCAACATCAAAATAAGGAAAAAAGAAAACCGAGCTAGTGAAAGATAATATAAGCTTTAATTTATTTGATCAACATATTGGTAATAAAGATTTAAAAAATGGTTTGCTTTCTCTCACACTCCTCTTCTCCAAACATTCTTTCCTCTCTTCCTTCTCTTTATTGTGCGATGAGGTGAGGTTTTAAGGCAAGAATGGAAGGATGGGGGAGGGTGAAGAGCGATGTGGGGCAGCTACTGCTACACTTCATTAGGAAGCTAATACACGGATTATTTAATTGGATGCTCTGCTTTTGTCCCCTCTCTCTGCTCTCCTCCTCCACTTGAGGATGGGAGAGGGTGCGGAGCAGCTCAAAAGGTCCACATAGTTCAGTTCAGTTAACGTCACATCACCTTTATTTAAGCTCACTTCAGTTCAGAGCAGTTCAGTTCGCCAGCCTGTAGCATAGCCCGTTTGTGTGTCTATAACTGCCTGCCAGCTTGTCTGTCCGTCACACCAGTGTAATCTCCACTTCCTCCATCTTGTCGTTCTTCTCCTGTGGCCGGCGGGGATGCTGTTTAGGTGGAGGAGGAGCAGCTCGCACCTGCAGCAGTGAAAACATTAAATGTAAGTGTGTGAAAAAAAAAAAAAAGGCAAAGTGAAGAAAACTACTGCCAAAACAAAAAACAGAGACGGCCTACTTTTCTTAGTTTGACAGACAGCATGATGTTCATTTCCTGCAGTGTGACACACCTTTTATCTCAAAAAAAGAAAGAATTTTTATTCTCTACTTTTTCCTCATTTGTAACACTGAATTGCCTGAAAATATTCTTCGCAATAACCAGATTGTTCTTTGCAGGAAAAAGTATCATATTTAACAGTAAACTACAACATGTATAAAATCCACACATCAGTCAAATTTACCTTGTTATCTTAGACAAAAGCTATCTAAATTTTAGTTTGTCATACAACTTTGACTCTAGTTTCATAACAGAAGTTATGTCAATGTTGCTTTAATCTGAAATAGTGTATTGAAAGAAACTGTAAGGAAAGCATTGCTGAGGCCATGTCTTTTATTTTTTAATTATAGATTTACCACCATAAAACACTGACAACCATACATAAACACTGAAACAACCTGAACAACTCTGATACTAACAGGTCGTAGTTTGCCCGGGCCTCCGTCAGGGGTGAACCGCGGCGGCTGAGTCTGAGGAAAACCTGGAGACACTGGACTCCTGCCAGAGCTCTGATCTACAGAGAAAGATAGATTTCTAATAAAAAGCCACAGTGGTGCATCTCAATTCATTCAGTTATGAATAAATGTTGTAGTTGTGTGCGTCTTACTGTGAGTGGAGAGCGATCCCTTGTGCAACGAGGAGGGCAGCGGAGGCTTGTGCTCCCCGTTAAGCGCAGCAGAGGGTGAGCGTGGGAGAGGAGGTGGGGTGGAGGTCTCGGGGCTGGTGAAAGAGCTGATAGGGGGTTGGTCATACAGTGGAAGAGGTGGTAGTGAAGATGGCAACTTCAGAGATGGAGAAATCTACAGAAAGAGGCAGAAACAGAAAAATACATTACTAAAAACCTGCTGCTCTACTGACTGGACCATTTCCACTGAGTCACAGCTAAACAGCCTGGAGTCATAATAAAGGAATCGACATCACCTTTCGTATACAGTGAAGACTAACCTAAGGAACTCAAGAAGAACTGGTTGTTAATAAGTGAAAATTAAGGACAAAGTAATGAGTTATAGGTCAAAATGTCAGTTGAGCCTTGATGACAGTGCTACGAGCCTGTCCCCTCTATAAGTGTGTGTTATGTTTCATATAAACTGACCAACTGGATAAGAAGTGGCTACCCTGCCAGAAAAACTAAAGAAAGTATGCAAGAAAAACTACAATTTGGTGCATGCTATAACTAACAGTTGTGTACTTACAAATCCAGCAGATATAAAACAATATTAGTGTTGATTTGGATTAGTGTTTATGGCCACTTTGTGAGCATTCACTCTGTTTCACTGCTTTTAGCCTCCACTGTCTCCTGATGACACCATGTTCACCACCTTGTCTGTCTTGTTTGGTGCAGACAGTGTATAGTAAGCTGTTACAGATTTTATTTATTTATTTTTTTTTTTAAACTGCCAGCTGGAAACGTTCATCAAAACAAAGTTGTGGTGAAAAGACAAAGCGACCTTTCGCATTATATAGTCATTTCATCCACTGTTAATATAATAATGCTTATTAGAGCAGCTTTAAGATCTACTGTAGGTCTTTGGTGGAACACTCAGCAGCCATCACATATGGTAAAGAGCAAGCCTTTATTACTTTGTGGGGTACTTTACATAAATATTGCTGTTTTGCGTGACCTGCCACCACATGCACCTCAAATATTTTTATGCCAGTATACCAGCATCTAAAAAGAAGTTAAGAGTCATGTTGTGTTATGTCTATAGGCTCATAGGAAGGGAGAGGCTGCATCCTTCCTGCTGTTGAATCTCTAATACAGCAGCACTCAGTGTCACAGATAAGACCTCTTTCTGTGATTGCAGGGATTTTTATCAGGGCACTGCAGGAACACGGTATTTCTGATGCACTGTTTGTGAACAACAAACAGGAAAGGAGGAGGAGAAAGTGGTACAGCAGACTACACTCTATGCTTCTCATGGAAAGAGAGAAAAGACCAGATTTTCAGTTCAGCTCCAAAGTGAGGCTCTCAGTGTCTGTGTGGGAGTATGTCTACTTTAGGAATCTGTCCCACTGACATCTGTGTTATTGTTGAGTTCTGTGTTATTAATCTGTGAGATCTGTCCCTGTGTGTATGTGCAGGTGTTACTGTACCTGTATGTCACCTCCCCCGCTGGTCTCCCCATTTTCAGTGAGATCTTCTACTAGCACAGAGGGGAAGACGCCAATCCGCCCATTGAGCTCCCCTTCCCAGAAGCCATCATCTGTCTGAGTGTTGCGGCTCAGGAGGCGGATCACAGCTCCCTCAGAAAAGGAGAGCTCCTCATCTGCTTGGCCCTCGTAATCATAAAGAGCACGGACATACACCACTGCAGAGTGAAAGTAATAAGAGATACACAGAAAGAGTAATTACAGTGTATTCTTGGGGAAATGTGGTTGTCTGTCTGGCCCTCATTGTCATAGATAGGGTGGTACACACTGCTGAAGAGAGGGAGATGAAGGGAAGACAGCACTGTAATGATTAATGAGGTGTCAGGATTTCCTCATGTTCCTGGTCCATATATTCAGGTAGAGCAGATACAGCAATAGAAAGTAGGCGAGAGTAAATGATGAAGGAAAGTGGTAAAGGAGTCAGGTCAGAAAAGGAAGTATGAAGATGACAAGTCAAGATTTTTAACAATGGCAATTTAATGCTGCATTGCTGAGGACAAAACTTAACTCCTTAACTAAGCGTGGGTCATTTCTCGTCTGCCCTTGCTTTTACTCTGTTATCTTACCTTGATTCAACAGATTTGCTTCTTCCAAAAACACCCTGCATAAAAGAACCTTTAAATTAGCTTGTCTGTTGTACTTCACTTACTGTTTGTGTCTCCATTGATGCAGCCAGAGTGGAGCTCTGGTTCTGTTGAATTGGATGAGGTGTGTGATCGAGCATCAAGAGTAGCCAAAGATTGGAGCATGCTCAGCAGACTGTTTGAGGCTGGGAACTGCAGGTATTTCTCTGGGACGTAGCCTACTTGACCAGTCTTATTGCGAGCCTGGAACACACATAAACACAATGTAGTGCATTCCCAATGTCAAAAATACACATGGTAATAACAGCAAACATGAAAATGTGCAAGACAGGAGAAAAATGTATCCCAAGAGACCATACAACCATGTAAATTCAAAAGCAGACACAGAGGGTACAACACAAAGAGCTGATGCTTGCTGTGTGTTTGTGCACCTTGACCCAGTCCTCCATGTCTCCATCCTCAATGACCTCCAACATCTCCTGTTCATCAATAGTTAACTCATCTGGCTGGGAGGCCTGTGGGAGAAACCGTACCCAAGTGTTGA